GTAAATTGTTTCAGGAGTTTCAGACCCTGTTTTGTACTTTATTCGTTAAAAGTCCCATGTGTGTTCAGATGTGGGCGTCTGCAACATGGGCGATTAAACTAAGACAACACATTATGTGAAAATGTGCTTTTCAAGCTTCTCAGGAAATGTATGTAAAACACACACACACACACACACACACACACACACACACAGTGTGTATCAGACACGCTTCAACGTGCTGAGCACCAGCGCTTGTACTGATTGAACCGCATTGTTCCCTGATCTCCGTCTCCAAAAGCACATAAATTAAACTCAGTTTCTGTATGTTGCAATAGATAACAACAGAGAGTGTCTCTCACCTGTGCTAAGCATTGTTATGGGGCGAGTAAGCGTGTGTGTGTGTGTGTGTGTGTGTGTGTGTGTGTGATAATCTTGTGTGTAATAGCAGCTGTTTTTGCAGCTTTAGTGAAACTGAAGAAGGTTGACGGACGCTGCGCTCTGAAAACGCCCTTCATCAGGCCCATCTGTCTGCCGGGGAAACACATGACGTTCCCCGATCACTCCTGCTGTAAGATCTCAGGCTGGGGTCACATGCACGAGAGTGAGTTCACCGTCACTAACTCTGCACCAGTGCTGCTTTACTATCACTGAGATACTGTTATAGCTTTTACCAGTGCTTGAAGTGTACCAAGGATCCAGTAAGAGAATGCATTCAAACAGTAAGTGTGAGTGTTTTATTCTGGATGCTGGCTGAAGGTGTTTTAGATCACGCAGTAGTCAGTGGTTTAGTAATTCTGCATGGATCAGTCAGGTCAAGGTAGCTCGTTTAGTGGTCTTTTGGTGTCTCCCTGTGGTCCTGTTTGGTATCGCAGCTTGACTTGTGCAAACATTTTATTAAAAGTGCTGCAAACTGCAACTGTAAATGTTTTTTTGTGTAGCTGCTTTGCAACGATGTGTATCATGAAAAGCACTATACAAATAAATGTGAATTGAATTGCAAACATTTATTTATTTCTTGTGACACTATATGCATTCATTGCGAATTATGAAAATAAAAAAGTACTTTTTTAGTACTTTAGTTTGTATTTATTTATTTTTGGGTGGGTGAATTTTCCACTTCAAGCACTGGTTTTTACTCATATATTTATTTTTATTTCTATTTTTTTTTCTATTTTCATTTGAATTTTACTTGATTTTAGTGATTTTGTTGTTTGTCATTTTATTAGTCATGTTTTTAAATATGTCTATATAGTTTTTATTTTCTATTTCAGTTTCAGGTTTAGTTATTTCAGTACAAGTTAAACTAGATAAGTAAAGATCGTTAACAAACTTTTATGTTGGCTTGACAAAGCCTTGTTTGAAAGTTTTAATATCTTTGAAAAGTTTGAAGATTTGATCTACTGCATTGCTAAAATTTAATGCAAGTTGCTAACATGTTTTAGCATTTTGCTAGCATGATTTAGCACATTACTAACATGTTTAGCCTGTTGTTAGCATGATTTTACAAGTTTCTAGCATGATTTAACACATTGCTAACATATTTTGCATGTTGCTAGCATGATTTAGCACATTGCTAACATGATTTAACATGTTGTTAGCCTGTTTTAGCATGGATTATCATGTTGTTAACATGTTTTAAAATGTTGCTAATATGTTTTAGCTTGTTGTTAGCATGATTTAGCATGTTGCTTGCATATTTTAGCATGATTTGACATGTTGTTTACATGAATTAACACATTGTTAGCATGTTTCTACCATATTGGCACATTACTAGCATGATTTAGCATGTTGTCCTTGTCATGTCGTTCCAAACCCGTAAGACCTTCGTTCATCTTCGGAACACAAATTAAGATATTTTTGATGAAATCCAAGAGTTCTCTGACCCTCCATAGACAGCAAGGATCATAACACGATCAAGATCCAGAAGCGTAGCAAGGACATCGGTAAAATAATCCATGTGATAATCCATGTGGTTCAACCGTAATTTTACAAAGCTATGATAATACTTTTTGTGCGCAAAAGAAAAAATAAATAACGACTTTATTCAACAATTCGTCTCCTCCGCGTCACCATATAGCGACATTTTGGAGAGTATCCACTGAACGTAAACAGCGTATGCTGTTCTGTGTCAGCTGCATCACGCGTATACGTGGTTTACGTTCAGATCAAAGCGCAAACAATGTAGACAATATTAGTCTACATTATATATTGTGTTTTTGCTATTTTGTACATTGTCTATTTTGCATATTTGTATATTATTCTTTTTTTATTATCTATGTCCTGTCTTGTCACTGTCATTCTGTTGCACTACCGCTGGCTCTGATGTCTCTATAGTGGTTAAACATGAGATATAATTTGTTTTGGGTAAATCATATATATATATATATATATATATATATATATATATATTGGTCACGGAAATCATTTTGTTTCAAAGCAATGAAAAAAAACAGGTCTAATTATTTTACTTTTTATTTTTGAGTAATATAAATTTTCTTAAGATATAATAATATGGAATAATAATAATAATAATAATAATATAATAATATGGAATGTCTTTATCAAGAAATACTCTAATATCACTATTACTGCAGTAATAATAATAATGATAATATATAATGTAATTCTTATTGTTTTAGATCAATATTAATATAATTAGTATTAATATATGCATTCATATAGAATTTTCTATATCAGTAAATGCTCTAATACCTATATGGAAGCATGTTTCCGCCACTGAATAAAACATAAAAAAAAGTTAATTGCGAAATTTTTTTTCTGAAAATTATGAGTTTATATTCTGCAATTCTGACTTTAGAACTCGCAGTTGATAGTTTATATCTTGCAATTCTGAGAAAAAAAAAAATCTAAATTGTGAAATAAAAAGTCGCAACATTTCTTATTAATTTTTTTTATTCCGTGGCGGAAACATGCTTCCATACACATCAGTATTAGTTTAAAATAATTGAATTGTCTGTACTGACAGATTGTTTGATGTGTGTGTGATGTGTTCAGGGCGACTCGGGCGGTCCGTTAGCGTGCGACTGTGACGGCGTGAGTTTCCTCTACGGGATCATCAGCTGGGGAGACGGATGCGGACGCTCGGGAAAACCCGGCGTTTACACCCTCGTGCCCAAATATTCAGACTGGATCAACAGCGTCATCAAAAAATCCAGAAAAACATCCCAAAAAACATCAGTGAATAGAACAACCATAAACATTTGTATCGGGCATCAATGCCGAAGATAAAACAACTGTGACTTTACTATTAATGTATTCATGAAGGCTTTCCATTCCAGTGTTACTGTGTCATACTGATGGACGTGTGTTTTGTATTTATATTAACAAGCAATATGGTGACATGTACACTGGAATGGAAAGTGTTATATAAAGTTATTATTATTTTTATCATTATTATGTTTTTTGCATATCAATACATTTTGATTGATGTGAAATAAATGTGTCTTTAATCTGCATTAAAAAATTAAAAAGAGAGTTTTTTACAGTGTTTGAGTGAATCTAGTATTGGAAATGTCATGCTTTACACATAAACCCTTGAAAGTGAATAGACAGATGCAACAGTTTGCTGTTAAATCATAGTTTAGCAGCATAATTTGAACAGTAAATTATTCCACTATATATTATAACCATTAATTAAGTGCATTCATTTGACTTTCATTCAAACAGGTCTCTGTGTTGAATTTCTTTTCTGACATTGGAATGGCCAAGTAATGCATAATGAATATGTATTAATATATATCATATTTCAACACAAAATTAAAATATATGACATTATATGTCGCATATTATTATTTTTCATTATTTTGATACTGTTTTCATAGCATTTCCTCACAGTTTGTATTACTTAAATGGTAATATATATTTGAGTTTGCTTGTAATTCAGTCATTGAATTATTATGAAGGATTATTTCTATTAGATTGTCATTACTGTAATATAGTAATAACAACGATCCTGTTCAGTTTTTTTCACGTTGTATAGTATTTATAGGTCATTTTCAAACAATTAATTTTCAATGGACTTTCAAAAAATAATGCAAAAAAGAACACAAAGTACAAAGTGCTCCATCATTAATGTTTTGTTTTTGTAATTTTATAAACTATTATTAGACCTAAAACCGATTTACTTTAAAGCTTTATTTTCTTTAACTTTCCCCCCACTTTGGGTGAATTTTTGTTTGCGTGTGTGTTTGTTTGTGATATGCACCCTTGTATTGCTTAGAAATGTTTGCAAAATTATAATAGGGGCACTATTTGTACCTGATCTGATTATTATAAATGAAATTACCTTTTAGGTGTAGTAATGTAATTAGGTTGCTTAAGTAATATTACATTCAGATAGGCCTATTCATTTATTTATTTGTAGTTAGAGAGAGAGAGAGAGAGAGAGAGAGAGAGAGTGACTGACCTCTTCCAGTTGTGTGTGTGTGTGAGTGAGTGAGTGAGTGAGTGTGTGTGTGCTTTAATATCCGATTTAAATCATCTGTCCTCATAAGCGGCCACCCATGCGTGTAAGGGTTAATTATGCTTGACCCACTGACCTCTGACCTCTGACTGACCTCTGACAAATGCGGTGCGCGTGCTCGAGGCAGCGGGGGCGCGCGCAGCTGTCACGAGGAGAAGATGAGCGACACCGTGATCGCGGAGGGAGCTGTTAAACTCAGAGACGGAAGAAAAGTAGGGAAACGCCGCCTGTGTGTGTGTTTGAGAGTTTGCGAGAGAATGCGTGTAAAGCTGTGCTCGGTTTCTGTGTCTGCAGTGGAGGAGCCGCTGGCTGGTTCTGCGCAAACCCTCGCCGGTCGCAGGTCAGTTCATCACAGCACTAACAACACATACAAACATCTGCAAGATATATATACATATACAGCTCAGGAGCGAAACAAGATGTTAATAGAAGAAGCATTACGTTCTACTAATTTACCAGTACGAGTTTTACTAGATTTAACAGTAATTTCCTACAGTAAAATATGTCTGTTCTACAAAAATTCAAGTAAAATATATATTTAGACGCTATTATAGATGTAAAATAATGATAGTGTAAAAGAAAAAAAAAGCTTTGTGATTAATTGACAGTGTCCCTTTGGCTGGAAACCATTATAATCTGTAAGTGTAACGCTGTACTTGAGTCGTAAGTCTGTAAGTCGTAAGTCTGAACTTAAAGGGATAGTTCACCCCGAAATAACATTTTGTCATCATTTACTCACAGTCAAGTTGTTCCAAACTTGTATGAGTTTCTGTCTTCTGTTGCGCACAAAAGAAGATATTCTGAAGAATGTTGGTAACCAGACAGTTGACGGTAGCCTTTAACTTCCATAGGGGAAAACTACTATAGACGTCAATGGCTACCGTCAACTGGTAACATTCTTCAAAATATCTTCTTTCATAACTCGTGACAGATTTTTCATTTTTGGGTGAACTGTTCCAGTAATTTATGATATACACCAGAGTTCCGAAACCCAAACAAGTATAATTTTACATTAGCAACATAAGTAAAAGTGACAAAGACAATAACAACAGCAGAATGTAAAGTGTAATGTTACTTCGCTGGCAACCTGAGTGCATACTGTGAACGTTACATCTGTAAAAATACAAGAGTTTTTGTAAAACAGACAGACAGTCGTTATGATGCTGCGTCATAGATATTTCTTGTTCACTGTGAGGTTGTTGTATACAGTTGTTAGTTGTAATTTAAGTGTAATAAAATAGATTTAGGAAATATAACCATGATCATAGTAGCCTGTAAAATATTGTAAGTATTATATAATAAATAGAACAGCATTTCAGCTAACAAGCAACATTCTATGAACTTTCTGGCAAGGTTTGCTCAAAGTTACGAACTATCGTTCTTCCAGTAATGTTGTTCAGTGTTATCTGGTATTTAATACTGTTCTTAAAACATTAGCACAACAATTATTACTCATACATCATTCACAGAACATTTCTGAAGCATTTTAGTTAGACGTTCATCTAAGGTTGTTTTTGTTTTTTTTACGTTACAGTTTATTTCTGAACATTCCGAAAATATTCAAAAGTGACGTTCCCATAACGTTGGAATGTTCCTTTAACATTTGCACAACAAAAACAGTGTTTTTGAAACATTTAAATAAACTGGACATTTTGAACATTCATAAATAGAACATTCAGAAGTAACATTTTCAGAACTTTATCAAAACATTCAGTATTACATTTATCCTATTTGGTTCCATCCCAGCTAACAGAAAATGTGCTATAGAATTGAATAAAAGTAGTCTAACAGAGTTTCTCTTTAAATATGTTCTGTACAGAAAGATAAAACACTATGAAAGTAAATTTTCATGGGACACTTTGGATGATGGAGGTTCTGACTGTTGACTTCAGTGAATGTTTTACACAGTCATATTTTGTTATGTCAGTCAGCATGAAGAGCAATGTTTTCTCTTGAAATAAGCCACGCTTGTTTCTTTATGATGCATAGGTTACTAATGTAGGAAACATACAGGCTTCATGGACTTGTATTGTGTCATGCATTCTGTCATTCGTGCTGGGAACTAATTTGACTGGTCAGGCGTCGCTGGAGTTTCATATAACAGCACTGGAATGTTTCACTATTCAGTACAACAGCACTCCTGCTCGTATCGTACTGCTTCACTGATATACCTTACCGTCCGCTGCAGTGTGTTTGAGTGTGTGCAGATCACAGGCCATCAGAAAGCCGTTTTTACAGCTGTTCACACTAGTGTGTGTGTGTGTGTGTGTGTGTGT